TTGATCTGTTAATTTGAAAATTTTGCATACGTTAGATCATTCAAGTAGTCGGTCGAGTTGGTTAAACTCGGGTTCGAGTTGAATTGTCATCCTTAATAAGCCACAATAAGGGAATACCTTGAAACGTTTTTTAAAATAATAGATAAATCCCAAGACGTATAATAACATACCAAAAGAAACATCTTAATCTAATACGGAGAGACACCATGGACTTGCTGGTTAAGATAGTTGTCATGTTTGTTAATTTGGTGAGATTATTCAACAGACATTTAAGCCAGTTCACTGAAAATCAACACAAAATCAGCCAGTTCAACTAATAATCAGCCAGTTCAACTAAAAATCAGCACAATGCACTTTTAGAAGTGAACACTGATACGGTTTTCCCAGCAGGTTAAAGTATAACACACATGAATCAATGAAGTAGAAATTTCATAAATTACAAATGAAATTCGATAATCTTATGAATTGGATGTGAAATGACATACTTGGAATTGATGATCTCTGAAACCGAAGAGTTCACATCTGAAGTGGGTAGCATGAACTTCATCAAATCTGTCTTCGGATCCCAAGGTTTGTAGATCCCCGGAGAAGTCTCCATTGCGAGTATCTCATACCTCTGGCCATATGGATTTAGCATCAACATCGTCTTCTTAGTCCCAGCAATGATTATGACATCGTCCTCTTCATGGTAATAGATGATTTCAGTCTCCTTTGAATCGACCACACCATCGTCGTCCTTTAATTCGTTCTCAGATACATGGCCGCCAACAATAGATTCGGATGAGAGAGCCATGGGAATTGAGAGAATGAGGGGAAGGGAGATGAGTGGACGGCTTTTTTCTTGAGTCTGCAGCGATATCGGATAAGGAGTGGAAGGGAGATGAGTGGCTCTAGTTTGTTCAGTTCATGATAAAAGTCACTGATTTTATTAGGTGGTGGATGGGGTAGATGAGTGGTTATCATGTCCAAATTGAATGTTGTTATTAAAGTAGGATAAAGTTATTAAATTTGTATCCCAAAGTTTTTGTACCTCACTTGTACACCATAGATTTGCACTAACATTTTGAGTTGGTGTAAAAATATTTTTTTAAAACACCAACACTTTGTGCACGTGTAAATTTTTGTTAACGCACTAACATATGTGTCAATATAAACTATCAAAATAGTTTTGTATAACTATTTTAGATGAACAGTTAAAAAAGTCAAAAGTGGACAAAATGAGTGGGACGGAGGTAGTATAATATTTGGTGTAAGTATAGCGTAGTCCATTAAAGTATTATTATTACTCAATATAAAAGTAACATGTATTCAGGTACATGTACTGTTACATATACCGATAATTAACAATATCAAATGTACTGTTACATATAACAATAACCCGGTTTATGTCTGAGATGTTACCAAGATAACCAAACCCCCTTTCTTTTAGATGTACCGACAACCGGTCTAGCTAACTCAATCTTGAGTCGTTCACGAATACTTAACAATATCAAATGTACTGTTACATATAACGATAACTCGGTTTCTGTTTGAGATAGATGCATGTGTTAACAA